AAATTCCTACAATAGGCCTATGTTCAACAATTAGAAACATGCCGTTTGAAGTTGACACAATTGGAACAGGAACTCGAGAGGGCTAGACAGCAGGTGAGGAGAGACTGTTTATGAAATTTCTTATTTACCGAGCATATTCATAAATCAGAATTGGTAGTTATAGTGCATAAGCGATTTCTTATGGCAGGGCGTATATAGGTGGCTTTCCAAACACTGGTCATATAGGACTGTCTGCACCTTTAAATTCAGTTTGTGCATTTATATTCTGATTGTCAATGTTCTGTTTGGGTTTATTTTTATTTTCTGCAATCAGGTTTTGTTTTCTGTTGTTTGCAATGGAAAACTCTAAGTCTTGAAAACTCTATTGTTTCCTATGTTTTGGTCATTTTCAAGTGAGAGTTTCTGGGAATTCTGACTTACTGCTTTTTCTAAAAGGGACAGTTCGCTGAAAATTTTTCCTCATTTAGAATTTTGGAAAACCTGCCAAACAGGTTTTCTTTTTCCCAAATATGAAAACACTGTTTTCCAAAAAGCTCGGTGGACCTCTTATTTATTCTCCTTTCTCGTCTCCTAGATTTTAATGTTCTTCCAGTGTTAAGTTCCAGCAGGTGCTTATGCAGAATCATAATGTTCTTCTTCCTGTGTGAAGTTCTCATTTCCTTTTTCTTCTTTTTGGGATCATTGCATGAAAAAATTATATTGTTTAAATTTTTACTCAAAGATTAGAGTCCATCTTTTGAAAAGAATTCAGACAATAGTTTTAAAATGTGGAAGTGTTTTTAGTTGTGATCTGCTGATAATTAATCATCTTTGAGATATAATCTGTGGAATGTTGTCCATTTGCTCAAATTTTCTTCCCCTCTTTACATCATGTTGCCTGAACAAAATGAGAATGTGAACTCAATTAGGTTCTCAAGCAAGTAGCTTTTCAAAGCAGAATTTTTATAAATTTCTCTGATGTTATTAATCAGTAATGCGGGTTAAGTTCCAGTACTTGCATTGGATCTTGCTGCACTTTAGGTCATTCACCTGTCTGGATTTCTTTTCGGATACAGTTTTCTATTTTTGGAAACAGATAGCTCATTTGGCAGTCCTTTTCATAAATTATTTCTAAGAGAATTTCAGAAATGACTTATTTTTAGAAAACAACAGAAGTTGTTTAGAATTCTCAGATGTTCAAGAATGCAAACCATACGAAAAGAATTGACTTTTCTACCTTTCCTGTGCTTGCTGTTTTCGAAAACACAAAAAAATTAAGATTCAAAACAGAAATGGAGAACATAATACAAATACAAACAGATGTATCCATATACCTTTAACTTCTTCTTGCTTTTCATATTCTTTATTGTGGATTCCAGTATTGCTACATTTGAAATGGAATATGGACACTGGATTGAGGAGCAGCAGAGGCAGAATTGTGAACTAAGAAAAGTTTTGCAAGCTCATATAAGTGATATAGAGCTCCGAATGCTTGTAGAAACTGTCTTAAACCACTACTACAATCTTTTCGGATGAAAGCATGCTGGCAAAGGCTGATGTCTTCTACTTGATGTCTGGCACATGGAGAACTTCTATTGAGCGCTTTTTTCTATGGATTGGGGGGTTCCGCCCATCGGAGCTTCTAGGTGTAATGCTTCTTTTTGTTTAACTTGGTATTTGAAGATTAAAGATTAGCCAACTTGGTCTTTATTGTTTTGATTATGGTGTTCTTAGTGCTGCTGATTATTACTTATGAAGAAAACCTGATGTCTTCTGTGATAGTTCATTAATGACCATCTTGAGGAGTGCAGGAAAATGTGGCAGTTTATATGCATGCTGATGGAACACTAACCTCCTTGCAATTGATTGAGATTGTATATATAATAACAACCTGCTCAAATTGATGACAAAACTGGTTTTTTTTACCCAGTGGACATAGATGGAGGGCATAGGAATCTAGACACAAAAGTCTTCTACTTAACTCTGTTGCAGTAGACTTGTCCCGATGAGTTCTGGAGGAAAGGAAATTCCTCTTCTGATTCTCCTAAACCCTATATTAGACTCCTCTCTCTCTATAAGAACCTCTTGCATATAACATAAATAAATAGATCCAAAATCTAAAAAAAAACCAATCATTTCTGTATTATACTAGATGGATGGGGGCTGAGTGCTACAATCACTTCCTTACTTCAAGAGAGTAAGTAAAAAAAATTTGTTTATTTTGCATTGTTTGTTGTAATTTACCCTAAAATACAATTTGGTGATTTCAAGTTACACTTGTTTTAAGAGCTCTTTTTCATATTATTGATTTATCATTACAATTCCCTGAAGCCCAAAGAATTATTAGATATTGATTGTTTGGATATGTTTTAACAGATTCTAGAGCCACAACTTGAGCCCTTGACGGATCAACAACATCTGGCTGTTGATAACCTCCGTCATTCATCTCAACAAGCTGAGGATGCTCTCACACAGGGAATGGACAGACTTCAGCAAACACTGGCCCAGAGCATTACAGCTGATCTTACGGATGCAGGAGATTATAGGTCTCAGATGACTTCTGCAATTGAGAATTTGAATGCACTGGAGAGCTTTGTGTTACAGGTTAATTTCCCCTCTCCCTTGGCAAAGCAAGTCAAGTTATACTTCTGGATCTCTATCTGTTAAATCTTGAATTGGAAGCAGTATGCTCGATATCTCTTTTTCCTTTTTATGCGACTTACTTTGGGTATGGCTTGAACCTTAGAACATATTACATTGATATTCCATTTTGCGTAGGCTTTGAAACAGTTGGAATTAGAAGAAAAGGGCCATAAGGCCTGTACTTGAACAGAACAGAAATTCAAGTCCAGTGGCTGAACCAAGGCATATAGGATCAGTCCCCTGATTTTTGAACTTTTTCACATACCGTGAACTGCTGCAGCCTGCAGCAAGACAGCAAGCCAAGATTTCTACTAGTTCTGCCACCTGTTAGATCTTTTATTTGTTTATTTTTTCAGTTTTTAATTTTGACTAAGAACTCTGATGGGTACATTGTTAGAATGCTGAGAAGAAGTACCATCTAAATTAAAAAAACTTTTAGACCCATTATCCTCAAATGATGCCATCATTTTGTTCAGTCTGTCCTTGTGCCTTTAGCAAGAACCTCACATATGGGTGATATTAATTTGATCAAAGAGAGATATAAACTGATAAATAATAAATTTGGGACTTTGATCTCATTGAATATAGTGTTAATCATTCATGTCTTCAATTATCATTGGCTTTCTTTTTTTTCTTTCTTTTACTCAAGCAGGCAATCACCTTCGCGAGCAAACTCTACAGCAAATGTCTCATATCCTAACAACACGCCAAACAGCCCGAGGACTGCTTGCCTTGGGGGACTACTTTCAACGGCTCCGCGCTCTTAGTTCGCTTTGGGCTGCTCGTCCTTGTGAACCTACCTAATTTGCTGTGTTAGAGACCAAAACTTAACATTTAGCTGTACTTGATCCCAGACTTGCAAGGAAAAAAATACATATATTACAGGTTAGAGTTTATCTGTTTCATAGCTTTTCCAATGAATATTATCGAGTTTGTAAACTTGAAATGTTGACCCCTTGTAACAAAAGAAGACTAAATTTAGACCTTCTATGTACATTATATAGTGACTTATCTCAAGGGAAATGCAGGTTTCTGGGTTACTGGGTGAATTATGGCTCTCTGTAAGTAATTTGTTATTTGTTGTCACCGCCAAGATAATTCCTGTATGTTATAGTTTTTCAAAAACTGTTTTATATTTTTAAAGAAGTGAAAACCAGTTTGGCAGATTGTGCTCAAAAAAATTTCCATATTAAAATTATATCTGCTGATATTTTAGCAATAATAAAAATTTGTTTTTAGAATTCTCGAAAACCACTTTTTAAGTGAAGATGAAAATGAGATGACAGCAAAAAATTTGAACTTTTCAGTCAAAAGAAAAAATCAAAAACAAAAAATGGAGAAATAGAGGACAACTCAAACATGGATATGTATTGGGATCAACCCAGTCAATTACCCGACGAGCTCACTGCAATATCAATTTCTCACTGGTCATGGTGAAGTTTCAGGGTAATTTGAGGGGAAAAGTTCATATCGATTCGAGGGACTTCAGGAAAATTACGTGGTGAAGGGAGGGGTATAACGGTAAAACCATTGTTCTTCCCAACTGCCAACCGAAAAATAGGAGCCAACCCCGTCACAAATTTTACTCGTATGCAACAGAAAGGGAAAATCTATTTTTATTTAGAAAAATAAGGGGAAAAAGAGACCACTGAGAATCTACAGTGGTTCACACATTCAAGAAATATTCATTTGTCTTCATTCATGGTTTCAAATTCATTTTGAAGAAAACATTTTTTAATCGAAACCCTAATTGCGATTCCTCACCTGTTTTCGAAGTCCGTTGTATTCAACTATGAGCAATCTAAGAACCATTTGCCGCCTCAGACGTTATTCTCGTCAATCGCGAGCTATTGCAGGACTCTCGCTGTCGATCCCGCTCTATTGTTAGGTTTCAGATTCAGAACTTGAATTCCAAACCTAGCCTGTCTTCGGCTTCTGTGTCTCCCTTGGATTGATTCTTCGGACGTGCCCAAATACGAGCCGTGGATGAGACTGAACCAGAGGAGAACGGTGGTTAGGGCGTCGAATTGGACGGACGCCAAATCGCCATACGAAACTCTGGGTAAAAATTATTGTTTCTTATATATTAAAGACTATTGCCCGTTCTGAAAGTGTATTTCTTATGTGTTGAAAGACTATTGCCCGTTCTGAAAGTGTATACTTGGAAGGTTTCTTCTGGCAATCTTTATGTTGTTTGGATGCCCATGGAGTTATGATGTCTCTTGCAGAGAGCTGAAATAGTTTAGAAAATAAAGGCTTTTAATGAAATTTTACTGCAGTGAGTTGTCCCAGATTCTTCATTTGTATTGCTGAGAAAAACTTTTGCGACCTTGGTCAGATAGTGATCTATCATTCGCTTCATATATTCTATGGTGTTCTTTTAGATGCTTCTTGGCATAGAGGAAAGGGAGTGTTAATTGGAAAGTGGAAGCAAAGCTAAGAACTACACAGTTGCCTTTGTGCATAATATAAGTCGGTTAGTGTGTGTGGGTGTGGCTGGGGTTTTTTGGGTGGGGGTTTCAACAACAGAAACTAGGTGAACTTTGTTGAGAGACGAGAAGGGAAACAGAAAGGCCTGGCAAGCATTCATAATCCAGTGAGATTACTAATATCTTTTATGGTATCTCATGTATACAATTGTGTTGATTGCCCTATAATTGAAATTTTAACTAAGATATTTTTATCAGCAAAATAACCAATTAAACAGTAGAAATTACTATGATTATTTATTGTATTGGAATAAACTTTCACAATTTTTTTATTGATATCTTCTGTATCAAATTTGAAAAAAAAATTTTTGTGGCACCAGTGTTTGCCCCTTTGTCTAGGATGTATCATGGAATATTTTAATCGTTATCTTCTTATAGTATACGAGACATGTTCTTCTCTTTCTCCTTATACCTCAGTGATAAGATTGTGCGATTGATGAAATTTAATGCTTTGCTTTTGAATGCAGAGTTGGAAAGGATGCCGATGAAGAGAAAATAAAGTTGGCTTATAGGCGTCTGGCCAAGTTTTATCATCCAGATGGTGGTTATTGATCTCAATTATATTATCCTGATGGATCATTTACTCAAAATGGCTGCCATAGGATGTTGAATATGTTGAATGTTGTGCCATGGGATAAAATATGGGGATTAAATGTGGTAGGGGTTGTTATATGAATAGAATTGTGTTTGTTTGTAATGGTATAATAAAATGGGATCATGTAATAGGATTCTTAAGAACCATTGAATTTAGATCTAGTGGTAGGGGGTATAATACTGTAATTCCTCCCAATGGAGCACGAATATCCCAAATGGGATATGGGATAAAAAAAACGGGATGCATTTACCTAGATCTATTCTGTATAAAAATCAATCAAACATAAGACACTTGATTCCTATTAGTATTCCTCATACTTACTTTGCTTGATCAAACAAGGGAACGTTGAGCCCTAGGCATTAATTTTCAATCTCCTCGCCTTAACTCCTTTGAACAAACGTACCAGTTGGAATTAAGAGGGTGATAATTATATACACCATTTAGCTTCTACAGCCTTATGTAAGAATGGAAGAATCCCATTGTTTCTCTCTTATGAGTCCATGGAAGAAAGCAAGAGTGGTGGTCTAACAACATTTTTCGATAGTCAGTCATGTGTCTGATTGCATTGGATGGAGACACCTAGGAAGCTTAGCATTCTTAGCCTTCTTAGTTAAGAAAACAAAGGAAATGTAACAGAAGAGAAAATGCCGTCACAATCTTGGTTTAAAAAATAGTATCAAGCTTATGAGCTGCTTTTTATTGTTTTAGATTGTGAACTATTGGAGATTGCTGTAGCTTTGAAACATAAAATAGTTGCTTCTAGTTACCTAGAATCCTAAAGAGATTTTTAAACCTAATTTCCTGGACATTTTTGTTTCTTTTTTTCTCTTTTTCCTTTTTCTGTTTTGGTGTTTTGTGACAATCAATTTTTATCTATAATATCTTAATAGCTTGCTTGTGGTTGCAGACCAGAAACTGATATTTCTTTTCATCTTTATTAGTTTATGATGGTAAGGGGACCCTTGATGAAGGGAAAAACAGCTGAAGCTCGATTCATCAAGATTCAAGCTGCTTATGAGTTGCTTATGGATGGAGAGAAGCGAAGGCAATATGATTTTGATAATCGGGTCAACCCCATGAAGGTAAACCCCTCAAATTTTTTGTCAGTTAATATCAAACTTAGTTATGTGTCTGTAAAATGTTTTAGTGATAGAGACTAATGCCATCTGTTGGTGAAAGCGTGTAGGAATTTTTCTGAACTGGTCGTTCCTATTAATGTCTAGCGCTGGAAATTGTATACCTAAAATCTGAAATTATAAAGGAACAGAAACATCAAAAATGGCAGTAAGAGACATAGAATCACATAAAAAGGAAGAAGAGAAAAAAATGGTGTTCTGGAATATTTATACTCTGAATATACGGCATGTTTTGATATGAACTATGAAAATCAGATGTTTTCTGCCAACTCTTGGTTCTATACCATGACTATATCTTGACAGTTCATGGATCATTCCTTTTTAACATCATATGGATAATAGCATAAATTTATTAGTTACAGGACAAGTCATTCTTTTCCAAGACAAATTTGATGTGATGAGGGAAAATCATCCATCATAATTGAAAATTGGGTTTGATTACTATCAAATACAATGAGGTGCAGCCCAGGAGTCCTTAAAGTACAGTTTTCCCATCATTATAACTTTTATTAGTTAATGATCTGACTTATTTAAGAAACAGTTATAATCCAGATATCCTAGTGATCTACTCTTGGTTTACTTAGATAATCATCAATATAACTTTGCGTATGCACCTTTTTCTTCCAACGTGTTTCTACACTCTTCTTTGTAGTGACCTTCCAAGGATTTAGTTTCAAGTTTCAAAATCAAACTTTCTTGCTTGCTGGCAAGGCAGGCTTCTCTTGGCAAATATGCATTCTACACTTGGTTGTGTTGATATTAATAATGCAGTTTTGAGATTTAAAGAAGAATCCGAATAAGATATAAGGGATGAAAAAAGATGAGAACAGGGCTATTTTTGAGGCTGTTCTTAGACGTTGAGCAATACATGTGAACATTAACCAAGAGAAGAGAATAAATGAAGAAGAATAAATCTCTGTCGCTGTTACTATCCTGTGAACAGTAAAATGGAAAGCACTAAGAAGAACTGAAGAAGACCCTAGAATTCCACATAGGCTTCCTTAGGAATCAGCTGCCACTGTGTCATAGAAACATCAAATTTGCAAGTTTTCAAATCCCATTTTACTCCACCACTTGAAATTGAAAGGTTTCATAGATAATCTATAGGATGCTGCTGGCCTTCTTAATCCTAGTACAACTATGATTCTGGAGAGAGGAAACTAGAAAACAAATTAGGAACTTATAAAAACTCCAATAATACCAAATAGCATTACTTGACCCACAAGTGAATCCAATGACCTAACCTAGTACCCAAATTCAGCAAAGTTTAGAATTACTAAAGTACCCTAGACACCATACCTCAAGAATTGGCAAAATAAGTCCAACATCTCACTGAACTATAAAATACATGAAATGAGCACTCAAGATAATCCTAAACTCGATCATACAAAATGCTGAAAGTATTCCTGGCCAAATTTCTTGTGAGAACAGATGGAGGTTGAGATTGTACCACCCATGATTAGTTTATGTAAGCTAGCATCCCAAAAGATGTGTACCTAGGGCTTAAAAGGGTGGAAGATGAGTCATAGCCTTTAGGATTTATAGGATTCACAGAGATGGAAAGGACTAGTTTGTGAAATGAGAGTTACTGGGTTTTTCAAAAAAATCTCTGTTGCATTCTCTCAAGCATACTATATTTCCTTTTCAGCAAGCTTTTTTGAAGGCCAAGGTGCAGGAAAGATCCTGCATATATATTGATGCTTAGCTGATATGGGTTTGAAATGAATGATGGCTTTTGTTCATCATAGGATATCAACTCTTATATTTTTAAGTGTATTTTTGCATTTTATGTAAAGAATAGGAGGAAGAGAAGCAAGTTATAGCAATCTATCCATTCCCTAGGATCAACTAACAAGGCAAATTCATGTTACAAATCTGGCAAGGCTTTAGAATATTATGAGATGTTCTTAAAATTCAACATTATGCATACAAGGGTATGTGTGTGAGTTTATGTTGTTAACTTTTTTCTAATTCTACCAAAATGATGTCTTAAAGAGGTAACTTTGAGTTTTTCACTAATGCAATAAATATGGCACATTGAGACCAATAATTATATTTGATGTAGTGCTACAATGTATATCTACCACAACCCAAATCTGATGTCCATATTATGTAAAGGCTTAATTTTAAGGCTACAAACTTGATTGCCAAAATTTCACTAGGTGCCTGTAAATCGAAATTTGCCTTTTTTAGCTCATAGCTTTGCTTGTATTGGTATCCCTGATTTGGTTTAATCTGATACAGAATAACAAAGCTGATAAGTGGCAGCACCTTTGCAAATTGTGTTGGCACCCATTTTCACTTAGATCTGGACCTACATGAATTTATTAAGAATTTAAAATAGCTCACTGAAATGATTTCTATGTATTTGCCTAGCTGCTTAGTAAATGCCTGTATAATTTACATTTTGGTTTTGTTTGTTACTTCAATTTCATGGCTAATTTATTCAGTTTACACCATAATTTGAACTTTGGCAAAACACAAAGTGGAGTCGTGGGTGTTGATCTGTTGTACTTTGTGGGAAGTTCTTTTGTAGTAATTGGTACTTCTTGAACTATGATACTTCTCTCTTAATAAACTAATCTTTCTAATTATTTCTGGTTATGTATTTCAGGCATCACAAGCATGGATGGAGTGGCTCATGAAAAAGCGAAAAGCATTTGACCAGCGGGGTGATATGGCTGTTGCAGCTTGGGCTGAGCAGCAGCAGCGTGAGATGAGTCTACGTGCACGCCGTCTGGCACGTTCAAGGTCTTGATTTTTAATAATTTTATAATGGTGGGATGGTGTTTGAAGCCTCAATCTCTAAATGATTATCTAGAGCGTCTAATACCTTGTTTAACTCTTAAAATTTGCCTCATACATAATTAATTTCCAGAATTTATATTACCAGGAAACTCTCTCATATGTAATTAACTATTACATTCCGATATTGGAAAATGGAAATCTTATTGGCCCTTTTCACATTGGGACATCTTTCCTTTGTTGAAAGGTCATTTGAAGATTCCCATTGTCTATTTTTGTCATCTAACGATGGATTAAATTTTCACTAGATACTTCAGGCACCCTGATCATAAGAAAAAGAGGGGTCTCTGCTATTGTTGTGCTTGTAGAACAGGATGAATTTTAACATTTACCAGATAACTGCTCTGCAGGAGTATTCATTTGTCTGTTCATTGATCTATATTTCTAGGACATGTTCTGTCAAATATATGATGCCATTTGACAATTTGTGAAGAATACTTGAAGAATTAGGTCCATTGAAAAGATTGGCATTTATAAAAAATGCTTAGTTGCATATTCCTCTCTGCTGTTTTCCAGAACTGAGCTGGAAACATTCTTGCTTTCTGTTAACAAATATTTACACAGTTCTGTGGATGGAATTGCAGATTGATCCTAAGAAAAAGGAAGATTCTGGCAAAAGAAAAGAGGCATCGTTGGAGAATTTCAGTAATACCCTTAGGCGGCATACACTTGTTTTGAAGAAAAGGGATATAATGCGAAGGAAAGCAGAAGAAGAAAGGAAAAAGCCATTGGCAAGCTTCTAGCTGCAGAGGACTTGAGTTGAAACAGATGACGACGAGGCAGCATAGGCAATTCCACCCATATTGGGTCTTTGTGAAATATTTACCATACTTGTTTTTTAATTGTATATTTACACTCCTCCTCTCAAGAAAAGGAAAAAAAAAAAAAAGGTGTATATATTGTCGATCACTTATCTACAGAAATGAAAGTGCGTTACTTGTTCGCTTAGAGATGTTTAAAATTCTCTGACATGAAACGATTGGCAAAATATCACTGTTGCTTGTGATTTCTCAGATCTAAATACTATTTTCTTCAGGTAGGGAAGAAAAGAATGGTACATGGTCTCACTGCAGTAACTTGAACAAGGAAGCTAGCGCAAAACTTCCAACAGATCATGAAAACGAAGCAATCAACCCCTACAAAATAAAGAGAACCGTTTAGAAATAATAAAACGTGTTTAGAAGAAGGTTTTATCACTTAAAAATCACTTTATTACTTGGGTTGGTAAATTCTTCTATTTAATCAGTTCATACTTTCCTGAGGAGTGTGTCATGAATCTTGGATTTTTCCTAATCTTTCGAAGGAATGAAAACTAACAGGGATCTAACTTGCGGCTAACAAACATGAGCTTATTGATAGAGCAAAATATGAAAGCAAAAGCTCTAGTTATATCTAGATGAGAAACAACAATTCAAAACATACAGTTAGTACATCTATATCTAGATTTTTTAAAATTATTAGACAAATAAAAGAAGAGAAACTCAAAATTTATACTATTTTATGAAAATCTAATGGTTACGTTGTAACAAATAAACAGTTTTCAAACTATCAATTGAGTCCCACCAATTAATCCTAAATCAAACTAAAACCAATACCAAGAGAAGATCTCTCCCCCTAGGACCTGGGCAACTCTCACACCCATTATTGTAGCCTGTGACGGTAAAGGATTTCTTAAAAAACAAAAAAAAAAAAATTAAACAAAAAAGACCAGGGAATTGAACCCGACGTGAATCGAACACGCAACCTTCTGATCTGGAGTCAGACGCGCTACCATTGCGCCACGGATCCACGAGGCGTCAAATGTAAGTTATTGATTATTGTTATATGTTTATTTTCAATCCCTAAACCACATCAAGCCTGATGGCGAATCACAATCCCATGCGATTTAGAGCTTAGCCGTCGTCCCAGGCGTCTTCCATCTCTCTCAGTCCTCTTTGGGTTGCCCCTCGTTTCGCAACACAAGACGCCATAGAGAGCCGATTCTACTTCCCCAAGGTAAGCCTATAAATGCTTCTCTTCAATTCAAAATACACGTATGAAGAACTCGTGCCCTTTTTCCCTTGAGTTGGTGTTTGCTTCATCGAATCCGCTGCAGCTCGCTTTTCACCTCTTCACTTGCACGCACGCTTCTACTTCTACCTTATTGAGATGACTTCACTGCTTAGAAGAAGATCACACCCATTAACAGCCATCTTTGCGAGATCAAACGGAGCTCCAAGGCTCGTTGCTATTAAACCCTCCCAAAACCCCCGAATCCCAATCTCATCTAGTCTGTACCTGTATAGGGTTTCAAAAGTTGCACATTTTCAACTCAGTCCACGAAATTTCCTGAATATGAAATGCCCTCGGTCACCTGGGCGTTGTTCAAGGGCGTAAAGAAAAGCTTGTCTCTCGTGTCATAATCTGTGATTTCTTAAAGGGCATAGGGATAGTTACGGATGAATTGGAGGACCTGGAATTGCCTTCCACAGTTGAATTAATGCGAGAAAGAGTTGAGTTTTTGCAGAAGTTGGGTTTAACAATAGATGATATCAATGAGTACCCGTTGATGCTTGGTCAGTGTCAGGAAAAACATGATACCTGTGTTGGGTTACTTAGAAAAGATTGGGATTCAGAGGTCAAGGCTTGGCGAGTTTGTTAAGAATTATCCGCAAGTCCTGCACGCAAGTGTCGTTGTTGAGCTTGTTCCAGTGGTTAAGTTTCTCCGGGGGCTTGATGTTGAAAAGCAAGATATTGGTTATGTGTTGATGAGGTATCCAGAGCTATTAGGGTTTTAAGCTTGAAGGGACAATGAGCACATCAGTGGCATATTTGGTTAGTATTGGGTAAGCCCTAGAGATATTGGGCCAATGGTCACTCAATACCCATATTTTTTGGGAATGAGGGTTGGGACAATGATCAAACCACTAGTTGATTATTTGGTTTCTTTAGGTTTGCCAAAGAAGATATTGGCTAGGATGTTGAGAAGAGGGCATATATACTAGGGTATGATCTTGAAGAGACCGTCAAAGCTAATGTGGATTGTTTGTTAAGTTTTGGGATTCAGAAGGAAGCTCTTGCATCAGTTATTGCTCAGTACCCTCAAATTCTTGGGCCTTCCTCTAAAGGCTAAATTATCCGCACAGCAGTATTTCTTCACTTTAAAACTAAAAATTGATCCTGATGGTTTTGCTCGAGTAATTGAGCGGATGCCACAGATAGTTAGCCTTAATCAGGATGTGATTATGAAGCGAATTGAGTTCCTTCTTGGACGGGCCATACCTGCCGAGGTTGTAGCCAGGATGGTTGTGAAATGTCCCCAGATAGTTGCTGTGCAAGTTGGGCTTATGAAGAACAGTTACTATTTCTTCAAGAGCGAGATGGGAAGGCCAATAAAAGAGCTTGTGGAGTTTCCGGAATACTTCACTTACAGCTTGGAATCGAGGATCAAAGCTAGGTACCAAAGATTACAAGCAAAGGGATTAGATGTTCGTTGGCTTGGTTCCTTAACTGCAGCGACAAGAGATTTGAAGAAAGATTGCAAGGTCATTATATAGACCCTGAGGCTGCAAGTCCATCATTTTGTATGGGCGGGAAATTAAAGTTACCAGGTAGTGAGCTTGTGTCAGATGTGGAAGAAGAGAGTGACGATGAAATACTTTACAGGCGCACTGTTTCCCTTTAAGATATTCATTTTTAAATCCTATAATTATAATGTTGTGGTTGATGGCTGCCTGTTGTTATGTATATAAAGGTTCATTGATTGATTATGGATATTGCTGAAAATGATTATCTGTCAGACGCGTGAATCTCCATCAGTTCCTTCCATGAGTAAATTAATGTTAGTCGTCCATTTTTTTTGCTGCTTCTTCGTTGGGGATCATTCAAGAGATTAGATAACATAAGCTAAGAAAAAGGAGTTTTTGAAAAAATATTGGACTGCATATTATTGTAAATTATTATATTTTATTTAGTATGTTTAAAATTAATATGGATAAAACGGTGAATAAGCATATAAATTATTAAAGTAATTTTTTTATGTTTGTAATAAACGGCAGTGAGTGGTGGTGGGCAGCGGCTTGTAATCAGTACTAGACGATGGCAGTTGGCAAGGCATATATTTGAGAATTTAACATATGAATAATAAAAGTAATATCATTTAAATAGATTAGATAAAAGTTAAATAAAATTATTTTATTTTTACCTAATATAATTTATTTAATTTTAATTAAATAATTATTTATTTTTTATATTGCTCATATAATTTATTTGATTCTTTATTTAATTTATTGAATATTAATTAAAGATAAATAATTTATTTTTATTCGTTTTAATTCAATAAATTGAATGCAATTTTAGACAAAAAAAAAAATCTACATATATCTACTTATATTAAACGGTGGACCATAATTTGATTGGATTGCGGCAGCTAAAAAATTTCTCCAACCTCTTCTGTCCCCCCAGTCTCTGTTTCCTTGTGTTAAGAATGGGTACTTCTTTGTTTTTTTTCCGAGATTTCCCTCGTAACTTGAGAACTCTGTGGCAATGAATTCAACTCTCTCTCTCTCTCTCTCTCTCGTCGAGGTGAGGCATCTCAGTTCTGTTGGCCTGTTTTTTTATTTGTAGCTTGTAAGTTAGAAGTTGATCAATGCTATTTTGGGAGAAAAGAGCCCTCTTACTTGGTTCTCTATGATGAAATCTATGCCGAGAGGTTCGAAATTATTCTCAAGAGTAACGCTCTATTAAATTTCTGGGAGGGTGAAACAGCAGGAGAACCTCTCAAAAGATGCGGAGAGGATCATAGTCTGGCCATATATTATGACAATTATAGACCACAAAAACTAGAATTTTTTCTACTTCCGCAAAAAGTTAGGAAAAGAATTTTCGACCAGGCAAGGTGAATTGAGTGAAACAAAAGATCAAAATTTTTGAATCTGCTTATTTATATTTTGCATAATTTTTGTCTTTGCCAAGAAAATAACTCTTTCCACGTGCTGCTTTGCGTAGCAAAAAATGGTGATTTTTCCTGAGTGAATCATTGTCAGACTAATGGAAAGCTAGATTGTGCAGGTCCTTTAATCATTTTACAGGTTCTTGCTTCTTGCCTCTTTTACAATTAGTACGACTTCTACACTGTTTATTTTATTGGAATTTGCACTAACAGATAGTAGCATAAATTTATCTACTTGCTTGCGTTTGTTGCCGTTTCAGATTTCTCAATGCCTTGGGCGAGACCAGGGGTGCGCAAAAATCAATTAATTTCAAAAACTGAACTAAATTGATATATTTGGTTTGGTTTAAATTGGTTTTTCATAATAAATGGTTTGGTTCAAGGTTAAAAAAAAATTCGAACCAGAAGGTTTAGATTGATTTTAAATTGTCATTTTCATAAAACAATTCATATCAAACCAAATTCATCATTTTCTTGGATTAATAATTATTAATTATATTCTCTAACATAATAAATTAATAAATTTTATTAATTTTTCAATGTTATTTTGTATTATACGAGTTGATTTATGTAATTAGGATTTTAATAATATTGTTTTCTTGTAATGATATAATATAAGCTTATTTATATATTTTTATTACACAGATTGGATACTTGAATACGTATCCAACTCATACTTCATGCAAAAATATATTTAATAAATGAACAATGAAGCATTTTTAAATTACTTATTCAATGCATTGTCTAGCAAACAATATGAAAAAACAATTTTTTAATATTAACAATTTAAAAGTAAAATTTAAAGCCACAACCAAATCGAAAACCCAAACTCAATTAGTTGAATTTCATTCAGATTTATAAAAACTCAAACAACCCAAACCATGCACGCCCCCTAGGAAAGATATTATTCATCTTTCTACCTAGAACTTGGGATTTCAATAACTCGAACATTTATGCAAGTGACTCTTAGTTGTAAAAATGTTTAGGAAGTCTATGTTGTTGGAAAACTTTTTAGTTGAGGCGAGTTCAATAACCATTACACAGCTGGGGAACTTTTTCCTCACTGTCTTGTTGAGGGGTGACATACTATCAAATTGCATGTTCAAATTTAGGACCCAATAAAAAGTAATGTAAGTCAAAATATTCTCAGCAGCGACATTAAGTCAGAAACTAGGAAACGTGGATTCCACAGGAGATCCATGGTAAGCTAGTAAAATGGTCAACATTTTCACCAAATTGCAAATTCCACTTCTCCTCCTTGAGGATTCAAGTAGTTTGTATAACTTACCGACCACAAAAAATAATAAGTAAATAAAAAACAAAAGAAAAAGAATATATTACAACAGATTAACACTTCTTCGGTTTATTGGTACTCTGAGATCTCAAATACCCGGGCAGTTCCATCGAGTGAAACTGAGACTAGGAATTCACCATTAGCAGACACAGCCAGAGACTGAATGGCGTCAGAGTGACCTCTGAAGGTTCTCACACAGTCTCCAGAGAGGCTGTCCCACAACCTTACCTTCCCATCTACACAGCCCGTAGCCAAAAATCTAGATGGACCCAGCCATGACAAGCATGTGACTCCATCCTGCCACATAACAAATAAACTCCATCTTAGAGCAGTGGTGTGAATATGGCCTGTTTAGATTTGTTTTTAAAGACGGTTATGTTGTTGGGAAAGAGTACATGCTTTTACAAGAATTTTCAGAGAACAGGCTCATTTTTAGGAAACCACTATTAGTTGTTTCCAGACTGAAAACAATATAAAATTCAATGTTCAATGTTTTCAAAAACATTAAATAAAAACTGAATAAAATATGAAGTTATCATAACATATAAAAAAATAAGTTTTTCCAGTTATTCCTAACTAAAACCCAGCCTTTTTTTTTTTTTGGAGGGGGGGGGGGGTGGTGGTTGGGGTGGGTTACAGGAAAAGAAAGTAGACCTCATGTTCACACATGCATCGAGGTAAAGAATGCTGCAAATCCCAGACAATAAGCTTCTGATCCATGCCTCCTGTTGCGGCCCAAGGTGAGCTGTCATCCAAATTTGGCATCGTGCTTGTCAATGTTAGACCAAATGATCACTACCAACAAATGACAACAAGTAAAAAGACAGAAAAAGATCCATTGCTCTCTTAACTTCCTGAGAGGATTCCCAATTTCTCTCCTCAGTGAGAAGAAAAGTAGACCGGAAACGGTGGATGTGATACTAAACTTCTATTCTTCTGCTTAATGAGGTTTAGTTATTGTTTTATAAAAAGAGAAGACCATTCTGTAAGCTTCTATTCATGACATTCAAAATATGTTTATTCTCAATTGGCTAAACAGCTCTCATGTATCTCAACATTGTTGAAACCAACCAAAAAATAATAAAGGTATATCCACCCTTGATGCAATGATGGAGCAATGAAGTTCTACCGATCTGGGGATTAAGTTCAGATGCAATTTGAATTGAGGTCCGGATAGAAAGACACGGTTTAACAGGTCCGTTTCTGCACAAACCTAGAATTCTACTAATAATCACCTTTCTATCTACTATTTAACAATGAAGTAAAGAGACTTCCCATATCGATTGTCCAGTCTGTCAGTAATTGATTGTAGCAACATAATCTTCACTGGTTGAAATCACTCACACATGATTAGTAATACAATTTTTGTCAATCATGGAACCCAGAAATGAACTTACAAAATTTTTCAAGAAACATTTATTTGTGCAAATAAACATAACAATGAAGAGGAATTATTTTTTTTCTCTGCATAAAGGTGACATAATAAAAGAGGAAATATTTGTAAAAAACTAAAAAAAAAAAAAAAAAAAAAAAAAAAAAACTCTATGTCACAATAGTAAACCCTCATCTTCATCTATTTTTTGCCATCAAGCAGTACTTAACAAAAAAAAAAAAATGCAACTTAATTCAAACAACAAGTGAAAAAGGCTAATTCCATGAATCTATAATCACACAAAAAATAAATAAAGAACCAAAGAAATAACAAATTTGAAAGACAAAGGAATATACCTTGTTGCAAGTCCAATACATTCTACCGAGTCAGAATGTGCATTCAAGGAACTTACAACCTGCACATAAAAGAAATATTGAAGTGCACATCAATGTACATAATGTTGTACTAAAACAGGCCTATCAATTAAACAAATCCAGTACATAATCTGTTTTTAATAACAAACAAGAATGATATGGATGCAACATATAAAAATGTATAAATTACTTCTAAAGCAACAAATATTTAGGGTGTTTGCAAACACTTCCGAAAAATCAGAAATTGGAAATTTAAACAGAAATGAGAGGAAGTTAATTATAATCAGAAGAGAGAGGTGTTGTAAAATATATTAAAAAGCTCTCAAAAGTAGTAAAGTAGGTGTTTGGAGTATAACTCGTCTAATTTGCTATGGTGAAAATTTTATTTTAAAAAGACCAAAATACCCTGATTTTTTTTCTTTCCTTTCCTTTCCTTTCTTCCTCCTGTTGGCTGTGTCCAAACCCAGAACCTGCACACCTCTCTCCGGCCTCCTGTCAATCGCCCGCTTCAACATCCATCCATCCAGACTCCCTCAACTCCATCCACATCTCCCTCTCCGCCAGAGAAATTGCCTAGCATGGAGGAGCTATGGAGGTGTTTGAGCAGCAAAGCAGAGCCAGACCAGATGATGTTTGCTGGCTTCATTGCTGGACTTCAAAGCAAATCGGCCCTTGAAATTTTCAGGTGAGGGTCACCTAAGGCATATGATCTGACTAGGTTCAGTTTTAGCCCAGATGGCTTTCTGGAGGTAGATTGATTCAATTGATTTTTCATCTGGATTGTGCACCTCCTATACAGAAACTTCCAGTGCGTCTCGGGGTGACAGGCTACTCAGCTGCACCTGGTACTGGTAGTCCGGGATGTCCCTAGTCGGCAATTAAATATCATCAGTGGCCAGCTGAGCTCAACACCTTCTCTGGCTTTGGCGGAGCACAGAGCCAAAGAAACAAGAGAGATTTGATAAGGGTAATTTTGGAATTCAGGAAAAAAAAAAAAAAACTGAGGTTAAAAATGTCCTAATACAGCTTCTTCTTATTACCATTATGCCACCCAAGCGCCCACCACCCCCCCCCCCCCCAAAAAAAAAAAAAAAAACTTTAGCTTCAGCTTCAACTTCAACTTCAATCAGCTTAATTTAAGAGAAGCAGGTGCTATAAGCTACACTGTCACCTCAAAATTGCTCTTTAACATTGAAAAGTGTGAAATCACTTTTCAAAAGCCACTGCAAACACCCCCCCCCCCTTAGTTTTGCACAAGTATCATTCCTAGATAACAATATATAATTGCTTGCCGTGTAATACATCAAGATCAAACATAAATGGAAATTCTAGAGCTGAAATCTAGATACAGTATAGGCACTCATATTATTGCTTGATTCAGTCATAAAAACTTGTATTGTCAAAAGTAAAAGCCAAGTGTAAGTCTGAGAGCAATCATTTTGGCCATATTACAACAAAAGTAAGATAAATACAGCTATTACAAACACTCTAGACCATTAGGGACCAACACTAGGGAATAATTAGACATTCAAGCATAAACCCTACCACCTTAATATCAAGATCCTGGCAGTAGTAATAGCATTGTGCAAAACTTCCAAGTCATGAGCTTATGGCACAAAATATAAAATCCTAGAAGAGATTGTCAATTTAACAGAGCTAAATAAGCCAAGTGACATGCTTAGATGGCAATATCTAAATCAAAAGCCAAATCTCAAGATGCCAAAATTTAACAGTCTCTAGAAATCTATGCATTACCAAACATCCATCAACGAGGTAATGGAAAACAAAACCAAAAATGGATCATATGCAGACAAATCACACCTTCCCAGTTGTTATATTAACAATGTGAGTAGAGCCATCCTTAGAACCAGTTAGAGCAAGAGTTGAATCAGAGGTTATTGTCAAGCATGTCAACCCTTCTGTATGATATGGATGACCTACAGAAAATATAAGATGTTTCATCAATGATATTCAAAGGAAATCTAAAAAATTAAGGCACCAGGCAGCAGTCCAATATCAGTCACTTTTATGCAAAAGAGCAAAACCATCCAAGAACTCCAGATTTTTCTCTTTTTCCACTACACTGATTGCAATACAATGAAGGGCACCAAAAGAAAGAGACACCCAATGCTGAAAGAATAACAGGAAACTAAAAGCAGCAGTCTAACTTAATACTTCTTGATAACATTTTTATATATCCAGTTTACAAGCTTTCACTGTCTGAGCATCATCCCAGAAACCAGACAGTTGCCAATTGACATGAGATTCTCCATCAATCTCCATAACTCATTGAAGTTCATTTTTATTAACCTGTAATCATCCCTTTAACTAATTTATATAAATCCAAAATTTTTCCTAATAATAGACTTACAATGTCATTTTCTAGAACTTTAATGTCATAAATTCCAAGACATAGAAAATCTAAAGTCAAAATTATATAGCTGTAGACAATCTTTAAAGCCTACCAAAAAATTGATAATTACATCTATTGACACAAAAGAGATGTCACATGTCAGGCATGCATTGGGTTATTAAAATTTTAAAATTAAAAAAAAAAAAAAAAAAGAAAGGCCATACCTTTAACAACATGGATGTTTTCTCCACTCCTTGGGTTCCATATTCTCAAAGTTGCATCATCAGAGCCAGTACAAATTGTTTTACCTGAAGTGACAAGGAAAACCAAGTTTAATTTTGACAAAAAAAATATATGAAAGTACATCTGAGCATAATTTTCTCTTTGTTAAGATTGAAGTAGGATGATACCATCAGGAGTAAAATCACCACAGGTCACACTACTACCATGACCTGAAAACATATTAAGATAGGCACTTTTGTCTGCATTCCACATCCAAATGGAGGATCCTCTGAACCAGCCAAGACCAGATGCCCTCTTGGATGCCACCTGACCCACTGAGAAGCCATATAGTTTGTGAGAAATTTCTTGTATTATGTGTCCATCAAACCAATAAAAGCACTCAAAATCTCACCTCAATGCCTCCTCCAGGACCTTCAAGTGAACACTTAAGGTTCCCTGAGTTTATATCCCATACTTGAACAAGTCCTTCTAAGCTTCCAGATGCAAGCAACTGTCCATCAGTACTGAAGGCTAAACTAACACAGAATCTTTATGACCTGCATGAATTTGAATAACCTCAGGTTTCAGCCAATAAGCAAGGAATCAATGAATTATTACAAGTTTGAATCATAATAGCAAGAAGATATTGCCAGGATTTCAGTCTAAACCAAATATAAATTACATTCGATAAAAAATCATGAAGTACCTGAATGTATTAGATATTAGATATCATCTATCATTACCTTGCAGCTCAAAAGCCCAATCTCCTCGACCAATCTTCCAAAGAAATCCTTTATCATCTCCACCCCCAGTTGCCACTAATGTACCGTCTGTTGGACTGCATAATACTGTATAAACTTCACCTACACTCCACATAAAAGAGCAGAGACAAAAATTATTTCAGAAACTCAATCTTATGGTGAATGCAAAGTCTGAATATATTCTGCTGGGATCCATTACTATCATGCAATCCAAAGTTAACCAGCATTGATTAATAAGCACACAGATTTTCCAACTTTGTTATGATAAGAGTCCGCACAGTAAATAGAAACAAAAAGTTGAAGATACTGATAAGAATTCCCCTATCCTTACTTACTTTAGGAAGAAGAAACATGGGAGGATGGCCCACCACTAGCTGAGCAAGTCCGAGATTTTCAGTTATCTGTCTTAAGACACATGATTTATTCAAGCTGGACTACATCTACCACTTGCTCCACATTTCCCACGATCTCTACATCTCCCATGATTTCCACATCTCCCATGATCTCCTAATGTCTAGCTCTAGGGATGTATCTGTTTAGGGTGCGTTTGGTTAGGGAGATAGGATATAATTGGATAGGATAACGCTGATAATTTTATTTGGATTGCGTAATATTTATCTGATGTTTGGTAGCATTTAACCAAAAGATAGGAAATAGTATGATAAAAAAAATATTTTACACATAAAATACCCTTATGAGCACTGTTCATCATCCTTATCCTTGTGAATGATCACAATTTGGTCCTATTTGGTCTTTCTTTATATAAATAGGAGGGGTATTTTAGTCAAAAAAAGAAAAATAAAAAATTTGATAAGGACTGATAAAATCACACCCCTCCCCCTGTAAGACTATCCTGTTTAGGCTGATACATATCCTTCTCACGGTCTTTTCCAGTTTCGTTACACGTGTACCGAACGTGTGATAAGGCAAGATAAATTTATCTTATCCTACCTTATCAACCCAACCGAACGCGCCCTTATCTGGATAGTGTATATAGTTGTGTTAGGAATTTATCCGGAGTTTTCAGAAATTATTCAGAACCATTTGTTCTAGGAGTTTGATCCTCTCCACATTGGCCGGTTTATTGGAGAGAAGTGTGTTTAAGATACTTGCATTCTTTTCTCTATAAAATTTCTATGTCCCTCTTATTCTACATTATCCATCTTTGTCAAATTGTTAGGCAACTATCAGATAGACATGACTAAGCTATATTTAATTTAGAATCCAACAAGTGTAACAGGAGCCCTTGTTTTCTTTTTCCTATTTTTCTTTTTTCTTCTTCTCTTTTGTATCTTTTAACGAAGTGGAATGGGTGCTTGGTTGGAATGTTGAGAGCTCAGGTGGTTATCGTGATTCATGAGATATTAGCTTACTATCCAGAGCAAAACAATCACTCCAAACAATATAAAAGAATGTTATATGGCAAAACATGAGATAAAAAATGCTTATTATATGGTCCTCTCATGCCTATAGCACAAAAATACAAGAAAGGGAGGTCAAAAAAAAAAAAAAAAAAGTAAGCATCTATGAGGTTGCAATCTCAATTGCTATACTGAAGTTCACGCAAATAGCTAATGCATTTGATGCTAGCTAACTGTCCTATCCTTTATTGGAGGATCAGCAGTATTTAAATGAACCTTTCAAGTGGTTACTCTATGCAGTAAAGTCTATGGAAAACCATCTGTAATACACAATAACAATATTGGCTAGATTGAAGATCCATCCAATTCAAAATTCTTTATTAGCATATGCAAAGGTAATACTTTCCAAAAGACCAATAAAAGTTGTTTTTAATTCCCATTCCACCATGTACATGAATTTTTGATAGCTCAGCTACTATCAAGTTACTTTCCAATTCTCATATTCTTTCCTCCAAGTAAATGATTTTTTTGGTAGTTGTGGAATCAAAAGCCTCCTTTATTGATGTTATCCATAAATATATGAGCTCTAATCAGCTTATATAGTATCCAAAGAACAGATGGCAGCTACACAGAAGGAATTTATCCTAATCGTATAGCCACTTCAAACCAACATGATCATCACTCAACTTGCCAACTAACATGCCCACCCCCATCATGGGGCCACAGAGAGAAATGTTCTCAAAGTGATTATAGCAGTCAAGTTGACGACCGCATAAAGAACCCAAATTTGAAGCTTTACCTGTATGACCAGTAAAAATGTGCATGGAATCATCAGCTTCATCTGAAACCAATCAAGAGGAAGACACGAAATTAAGCCAAAATGATAACTGAAATAAGTATATGATGAAATGCAGGAAACAAGTGTTTAAAGATTCTTTTCGTGAACTATAAACATATCATCTATCAAAAAAATATCAAATTAAAACAAAGAATAACAAACAAGTAGGGAAGACGATTGATACGGATTAAAAAAGTAAAGGCACCAAAATATGAATGGAGAAAATTAAGAGCGAGTGACAAAATTCAGAAGGAAATAATTGGCTTACCAACAGCTTCACCATCGGATCCGAGTTCTTCGTCCGCATCAGGAAGATCTATAAGCACCAGCAGAAAACGGATTATTAAGTATAAACTAACATTTACAAAAATAAGCCCACGGAAATGCACTATATAAACGCATATATGAAGAAAACGGTGGGGAAGGAAGGGGAAGGACCTTCATCGTCGACAGCGACTTCGTCGATGATATCCTCTTCGTCAAGGAAGACCTCCCCATGATCTTCCTCTTCGTTGGCCGGAGTGCTCATATTGAGTGGGAGGTTTTGCAAGTGAAAGCTGCTAAAGAGTAGCTAATCAAATATACTATTCTGAATCTTACTATGGAGTTCCATTATTTACAAACACACACATATGTACCTATACACATATATAGAGAGACGTATATACAGTTTAGCATAGAAATGCACACATGTACAGATACATATAGAGAGTATAAATCAGCCTTGCAGAAAGAAGACGTATAGTTTATACATACGGATTACTGAGAGCTGATATTGAGAGTTTGAAAAGCCTTGACGTGAGAAGGAGGCTGCTGCTGCCGCCTGTGCCGCTGGCAGGGGGATTCGCTAATGGCTGACGCTGGAGGACGCCTTTTCAGGTTCAAATTTAGAGCTAGGGCAGCTGCGTGCTGGGGCGGGGATATGTGAATTGAATATTTGCCTTTAGATAAAAACCGGATGATTTGGCTAAACCCGTACCGGTTTGACAATTGTTCCGGTTTAACAGCGGTTTGCACAAAAACCACGTGTATGGCTTTTTGTATTACTATTAAAAAAAATTTATTTACTAATATTCGCAATTTGTACTTTATTTATTACAATTATTGGAAACAAACGATTTCTATTTAAAAATGATTTTGAAAAAATTAACTTTTCTTTGAAAGACATTCCAGGCATAAAAATTTTTTCAAGAAGTAGATTCACATAAAACAGACTCCCTAATTTTGCAAGGAAGTCGGTCACAAGCAGAGGCCGCCAGCATCATTAGTTTGCGAGGATGATGCTGGCCCTCTCTCTGATTTGCCTCTGTGCAGAAGAAGGCTAATGTGCAGAGCAAAAGAAGGCTGGTGTCTCACAAATGAAAGGCCTCCTTTGGCTTTGCCCTATGTACAAGAAGGCTGACGAAAGCTGGGCGGCAAACTAAGTCTTGGCGGCAACGACAGAAGAGTGGAAGCTAACCAAGTAGAGGAGAAGACAGCATCAGCAGAAGGTGGCAGAGGAGGAGGCGGATCTCCGGTTGGTCGGTTGGCCAACCAAGCATTAGAGAAGATGGCATTAGAAACAAGAGGAAGAAAAAGGAACGGGAATTTTTTTTTTTTTTTTGTGGGGTGTGGGGAGGGGGGGTGGGTGTGGAACAGGGTGAGGTCTTCGGGGGCAGCCGACGCTCGGAGGGGCGGAGGAAGAAGAAGGGACTCGACCTTTCCCGTTGCTACCACGATTTACCGCGACCCAACTCTTTTACTTCACCCATCGATCTTTGTTTTCGTTCTTTGTGACAATCAAGTTAATTTTTTTAACCGACTTTAATAAGAAGTCGATTTTTTTAATTAAAATTAGATTTTCTTAAATTTGACTTTTTAACAGAAATTGTTTTTAAAAAATTTTGATAAATAAAATACAAGTTACGTGCATATTAATAAATAAAAAACTTAATATTAAAATAAAAGAAACCCCCGGAGTATATCATATATTTTCACCCCGAGAGGGACCCAAAAAAAAGAATATCTACAAATACTTTTCACAATTAATTATTATAAATTTCTTAAAAGTTTATAATGTCAAAAGATACGATGAGATCTAAAGTAATATTTTTTATTGAATTATGTAATTTTATAACATAACAACCATAAATAGGGGACAAATTATTAGCAAACCATTTAACTAGTTAAAAAAATGAGATCAATGTAATTATAATTTTGTTATTAATTAATATTAATTACTTCATTATTAAATTCGTTCGTGTGATGATGGAAAATGTGTGCTGTAATAAGATTTTACCCTGTGTGCTTGTTTGGGTTTAAGAGTGTTGAACGGTTTGGTTTAGTTTAGTTTTAAACATTTTCTAAATCAAATCAAATATATCGATTTTAAATTTTGTTAAACACGATCAATTTTGTACTTATCAAAAAATTAAGTAAAATTGAATTAATTTAAGTCGGTTTGTATTAGTTGACCTATTTAATTTTACAATTTTTTTTAATTTGGTAAAAAATTCATGCCTATTTCAAAAATTTTTGAATCAAAATTATTCTAAAGTCTAAAAGTAAATTCTTTAAAAGTTATTTATACAAAATATATAATACATATTAATAAATATAATTAATTTGGTTCAGTATAATTTTATTATAAAATAAAATTAAAAATTAAACTAAATTAAATTCAACCAAACAGTTTAAAAATCTTTATAATTGAATTAAATAAATATTTTTTAATTTTATTCAATCTTTGATCGATTTAATTTGTATTAATTCAGTTTAATTGATTCGGTTGAATTTTAATCGCCTCCTTGATTTTCGGGGCACAGGCATAAATTTACCGGTACCATTGAGTAATTTTTGTACCTTAAATTGATTAAGAATTAAAAAATACTATAAACTACGGCCTCATTTAAAAAATTAATTAAAACATATCATAATCTGATCTGCCAACTACCCTTCTAATCAAAATTCTTCACCGTCATCTGAAAATGACCCAGAGGGCCACAGCTCGACGAAAAGCAGCTGAGAAAGAGAAGAATGGAGAAGATCCTTCGATCCTAAGAAAAACCTGTGGACCTTCCTCCGCGTCTCCACCTGCCCCTAAAGGAGCAGCTATATATGTACCCACGCTTTTGACATCATCATCTTATCTTCCTTTCGAGCGAAAAATCTAAATTGTAAGCACCGCTGAGCTGATTGATCGTATTTGGTAATCCTCTCAACGTTATTGGTAGCTTTAGGGTTTCTGAAAATCTGGGAGAATGGCGATGCTGGATTCTTTCTTCAACAAGGGTTTCAAGGCGGCCAAATGGTAATTTTCTTCCATGGTACTCAATTTTTTGGGCATCGGATTTGAATTTTATTACTTTGGTATATTTTAATTTGGATTTTCAAATGTTTTCCTCAATTTTCTGACCAATCGGATGAGCGGTGAGATGCTGATTCTGAACTCTAAGTTGATTGTCATTCCGTTCTCACTTTTTCGTTTTCTACAATTGATTCGTATCTGGACCTTTATCGCTTCAATCCTGGCTAAGAACCTTAATTTTAAACCCACTGGGATTCGGGCAGCTTGGATATGTGTTGCTATACCTTGTAATAGCATATACTGAAAAAAAATTAGGAGTACAATACAATTGCATGAGCTTGTGGCTTTACATTCTAAATCATGTTTTGTACTGTGTTTCTGTAAATGTTTGTCATTTACAGTAAAACCTTGCTGAAACTTACAATTCCACGGATAAAGTTGCTGAGAAATAGGAGAGAGATTCAAATAAAGCAGATGCGACGTGACATTGCCAAGCTTCTTGAGACTGGTCAAGAAGCTACTGCTCGTGTTCGGGTGAGAAGTAGTTCTTTTCATTCTTAAATCCTCACGTAAATTAGAGGCTTATTCAGAAGACAGGATCACCATTCTTTTCTAAAAATAAATACTTAGTAATGCCATTTTGGTGGTAGTAACTCATATCTGTTTTGTTTTCTTAATATCCTATTCAGGTGGAGCACGTTATAAGGGAAGAGAAAATGATGGCTGCACAGGAGATTGTTGAGCTATTTTGTGAGCTGATTGCTGTCCGCCTTCCCATAATTGAAGCACAAAGGTTTAATTAACCAAGATATATTGGCTCGATATGCTTTTTGCTTACTTTGTTGCTAAAAAAACCTACTATCATTCTAAAATTTTCTCCAGTTTCTTTCAACCACTTAAGTCACTACTGCAAACTAGTTAGGCGTATATGATTACATATAACATTGGTTTGAGATGCATAACTTCCACGTTTGTCATAAGAATAGTTTGATTTGAGAGTTTAGCAGATATCCTTGAGATCTTGTACTTGTCAAAAGATTAGGTGGAAATCAAAATCAAAAGATTCAAGTGCTTGATTAATGATATTGATGCTGCAATCTGTTAAGTATATGTGAGTCATGTGTTTATTGTTTTCAGCCATTCAATTTTGGTCCTGAGATAATTTGCTTTGAGAGAGTATATATCAGTAGCAAGAGGGTGCCAACTAGTGTAACTGATGCATTCTCATACCAATGACGGTAGACTTGGGACATTCCAAACAAGTTATCATGCCTGTTGAAAAAATACCATGAAATTAATGTAGATATGATATGTTTGTGCAGCAAAAGATAAGAGGCATTCCTATGAATTTAAGATTTTTTTTTTCAAAATTTTATATTGATAGTTTACATCAAGGAAATATATTTGTTTAGGATTGTCCTAACTGGGAACATAGTGATTAGAATATATGGAACTAGTTATTTCTTGCCGTGTACTTGCCATATCCAAATTTTTGTGAAGTTGCTGTGTTGATTTATTTGTGAATCTGCGCAACTATGTCCATATCTGTGCTTTTCAGCGCATAAATATGCCTAAATATTGTATATGTAAAGATCATGCGTCATCATTTGTTAATTTTTGCTAGCAGACATCTCTCAACTATCACATGGCTGTAACTGTATTCTGCTCATGTCTATAAATGATATAACTTAGCTTATTGATTTCTTCAGTCTATATGAATTCCTAGTTTCTTGATCTTCTAAATTACTGACAAACCTCCTGTTATTCAGAGAATGCCCTTTAGACTTGAAAGAAGCAATTTCGAGTGTATGTTTTGCTGCCCCAAGATGTGCAGATTTGCCTGAGTTGATCCAGGTTCAAATGCTTTTTGCTGCCAAATATGGGAAGGAATTTGTATCAGCTGCAACTGAGCTTATGCCAGAATGTGGTGTCAATCGCCAGGTTATACACATAATTTTTTATCATATTGCATTAATTGAACACCAAGGAGATCCAGTTTTGTACTAGTGTGATTTCCTGTCCTTTACGTGTCACACACATTAATGCTTATCTTTGTTTTCTGATCCAGCTCATAGAACTGCTATCTGTACGTGCTCCTGATCCTGCTGTAAAACTGAAGCTGCTGAAAGAGATTGCAGAAGAGCATGAGTTAGACTGGGATCCAGCTGCCTCTGAAACTGAACTATTGAAGCCAAATGAGGATTTGCTGGTAACTCTTGTTGCTTTCCTTACCCCTTCTTGTGATTCCTTTTCTTGAAGTATTGCTTAGTTTGTGTTGTTTTGCTGTCAGAATGGACCAACTCAGTTTGTCAGTGGGTCCAAACTGCCCCTTCCAAAGAAAAACATGACGAATCATTGTACTCATCCCCAGAAGCTCAAGACAAGCAGTCAGATTATGATACTGGTCTTGACGAATTAGATTTTCCAGAAGTTCCTAAGGCATCAGTACGGTCCACTGTAGATGTTTCAGCACCAGAAATGGTTCCTCCCCCAGAAGGCAGTCTTCAATCAGCAAAAATTTCTGATGCAAATGAAAGCCAAGTTCATCCGCAAAATTTGGTGTCAGAAGAAGCACTGGATGAGAAATCAGAAACCAATAATGGCGAATCCCACATAACTCCTGATGGTCAAATGGAAGATAAAAAATTTGTTCCATTCATATCTCCTCCCTCACTGTCTTCTTCAACATTTTCTGTAAGAGAGACAAAGCCTATTGTACAAGTGCCAAGGAGCAAAAGTGAAGTTAATGTTGATTTGCAGGACGTGTTGGCTGCTGCCCGGGCTGCTGCTGACTCTGCAGAATGTGCAGCAGCTGCTGCCAGATCAGCAGCAAGCCTTGCTGAGGTCAGGATTAATGAACTTGTCAAGAAAAGGAGTGAAGAAATATCTGATGATGGTAATGAGAACCCATTCCATGATGATACTAGTGAGAATATTATGATGGCTAAGTTGCATCTATCTCATCAAAATTTGTCAAGTGATACTTGGGTTCCAAATTCTCCGAGCCCTCATCATGTTCATGAAGAAGATACTTTGGAGCAGCATGAATCAACTTTTCCTTCATATGACAGTTTCAAAGCGGGGATGTTCCTCAATTTGACACTTCTCACCACCGGCCTCAGAGACAGACTTCAATAGGTGACGAATCTTACCTGTTATACCCAAACCTCTTTTCACGACAAAACTCAAACATTAATTCTGGTGTACATTCATCTGGAGATGACTCGGGAACCTCCCATCGGCTTTGATTTGGCCTATCCACCTTCTCTGCTGTATTCTCTATCAGTAAGTAGACTCATATTTCAGATCTTGTGCAATGTCCATTAAGTTTTCTGTTGTGAAAGTGATGAAACAAATTATTATATGATAATATACCGTATGATATCGTGGGTGTCTCACTGAAGAAGAGTATCCATAAATTATTTTATAGGATAATGATTTGGTACCATATATCCATTTAACAAGGGGTTTTCTTGATTTGTTCCCCACTTTATTCTATTATATTTCATCTCGAATAAATTATTGAGCTAAAATATAAGTTGATAAATATAATTGCAGGTAAGTTGGCCATCCTAAGTAGGAGCATTTTTTTATTTTTTAATTATTTATTTAATATATTTATTAATTCTCCTGTGTGCGCCTTAATGATACATTAGTTATTGTTATCAATTCTGCGGAAGTATTGATGGACATTTGGCTTATTCGTCTGGACAACAGAAGCCATTAAAAATTTCATAGCAAGTGAATCCTCTGCTGTAAATCAAGATAAATTCAAAATAGTTGACTTGTAAAATTTTTATGCAAAACATATCTCACATGTTTGGCTCCCTCCAAAAGGTTAATTATAAGATGTTTTCTGTTCAACTATTAGGTGGTAGGTGGTACATTAAAAGAATTTTTAATAAAATGAGAATGAGTAACAAAGAAAAAAAATAGAATAAAATGAGAATTTTTACGAGCATATTTGGTATACAATGGTGGAATAAAAATTTATTATTACATTTTGTGTGTTTCAATAAAAATAGGAAATGAAATAAAAAATTATTGAGAATAATAAATACTCTTTATTAAAAAGATTTAGAAATTAAAAAAATAATTTTTAATATATTATGAAGATATTAAAAAGTTAAAAAAAATAAAAATTTTATATTAAAAACAGAATTTAACTTCATATACATGTGTGTAAACATCCCAATATTCATATATGTAATTATGTAATGTAATTGTGTAACCTATTAGTATATTGTAAATATTTGTAATTTTGACACATGTAGAATAATTGTTAATTACTAAAAAGATATAGAATAATATAGTAATTATACAATTTAGGAGCCGTTCGTTTGGGTTGATAAGGTTAATAAGAATAAAATTATCAGCTTTATCAGTCTTATCACGCATTTGTTACGCATGTCACAGGGTCAGATAAAATTTTTTATCAGCATGTGTTTGATAACTTTATCAGAGGGTGGAGTGGGAGATCAAGTTTCTCCCATTTCCATAGTAAAATATTTTCTGCTTGGACAATTTTGCCCCCTCTATAAGCTCTTCCCTCCCCTCTCTGAGCACTAGCCTCTCCTCTGCCAGCACCGCCTCTTCTCTGCGACACCTACCACCGTTGCCCCTCATCTTTCCAAGCACCGGCCTCTCTGCTGTGGATGTCGGACCTAGGCAAGCTTGCAGGCGCCAGCTCTAGTGCCTGAATTGGGCGCCTGCGTGAGCTCGTGGGGGCCTGCACAGGCGCTCGCTCACGTAGGTGCCAACTCCGGTACCCGATTTGTAGGCACCAGAGCTTGCGCAGGCACAATAGTTGTCAGAGAGGAAATGTATAAGGTCAAATTGATAAATTAGTTCTTTATCTAATTTCTTATCTTGATTTCTAAAAATGGAACTGAACAAATAATAAGATAAATTTACTATAAGGGTAGAATAAATTTTATTCTACCTTATCTTATCACACCTCATACTGATAAAATAAAATTTAAATTTTATCACTTTGATAATAAAATCTAAATTTTCTCAATTGCTGGAATTTTGATTTCTTAAAAAATAAAAACCATTTTGCTAAAATTTCTACTAATCATTTTTTTAATTTCTATTTTTATCGTATCATAGATCACCTTATCTAATTTTAATATAAAAATTAAAACCTTAGAGTAACATTGCTCCAAAAAATTAAGTTTTGAAATTTTAATTTTGCTAAATTTTTAAGAATATCTAAATTTTTTTATTTTTAATTTGTGAAACACAATAAAGAGAGAATCGGTAAACTACAACTAATCTTTTTTATATTTCAATATTTGCATATAAATCTTTGAGAATAATAAAATAAAGAAGCCAACTTCTCAAAACAGAGCAAATATTATAAATATTCAGGATATTTAATACCATAACAAAGAAGTCAACCCCAAGATTTGGACAAGCCAAAGATTACATACACCCACAAATCTAAATTGTCAATGCTTGATGGCACCTCCCTCGCCTGTTTCTTTCTGCTTGCACGGGAGGGTTTATATCTGTAGAAAGCGTACTGAGGTTTTTTCTCCGACCCGACCTCGCACAACCTTTTTAGCTTCCGGAAGAGGACAAAAAAAAATATATATATATATATATAGTTGCATATACAACGCTTTTGCGTCACTAAAACAACAGAAAATTGAATAAAAGCTTGGACACTCAACAAGAAAAACAGACGGTTCCATTTTAAATATCCAATAGATATCCATTTGCCATTCAAAAAAAGAGAAGCAAAAACAAAATTTAAAAAGTTCATGTGAAAATATCTGCATTAATAATAGCTAAATCACCATAACTGCACCTGTTTTTCCTTTCTCCTTTGAGGGCGAAAATATCAGTGTGGATTACAAAAATTGCGTGTCGATACAAATTCCTATGCACAAATCTAATGAATATAATTCACAAAGACCTTACATACGGCTTGAAGAAGGATTCTATTAAGAAAAAATAAAAGACAGGTGAAAACCAAAAAATAAAAATAAATAAAGGATTTGCAAGAAAAGAGAGGGCCTAGGGGATATAGTTTCGTTCTTTACTTGAGACAAGAACTGAGTTACCTTGGCCCAGACAACTCAACCGCATGTAGATTTTCTGTTGAGTCAACAATCCAATCTGAGTTAGGGTGCGGGGCAAGCTCAACCTCTTGGCGGAGCACTTCTACCTTTTGCCACTCATCCCATCTCTCAGCTAAGCCATCACCTTCTAGCATTCTGACTACTTCTGACATCTTTGGTCGTTCCATTGGAGAACCTTGCGTGCAAAGCAGTGCAACCTGGATAAGCTGCTCCACTTCAGCCCCAACATATTTGTTCTGCAGATCAGGATCAACCAGCAATTCTAGTTTCTTCTCCTTCAAAAGCCCTTTCACCTGATGAAAGATCAAGACATTAATACCCACAAGCATTGCAATTAAGATGCTCGTGTTCAACTATTATTGACAACCCTTGAGCTATTTTAGGGTCCATGAAGAGTATTATTGTTTCTAGTGTCCATGAAGGGTATTACTGTTTCTATCACAAGACACACCATGCAAGTATATACTATTTTAGGAATTGGGAAATCCGCCAGATGAACTGCCGATTTGAAAATTGAAAGATATATGACTTGATGTATCCACTATGTCAAATACATGGAAATCTCCAATCTATGATTTGATCAAAGCCTGGCCTACAACGAGGACAATAGAATAACTCATAATCTACTCAAGGACAAGTAGATTGGAATTGGTTTAAGCCAATTTGAGAGAAGCATCCAAGCAGGTATAAAGGGGGACAGGGGCACTTAGATTCCACCAATAGCTACAATGTTAAAATGAATATTTTCATATTCAGACAGCCCTATTTTCAATCTTTAAGGTTCATGGTGTCATGAGATGGCAAAGTCGAGCAGGAAAAGAATCCATGTTCAACCTTGTATAGGGAAAGCAGAAATTCAATTCCAAGAATTATTGCAAGAATGAAGCAAAACTCAGAAAAACATAAGAGGTTTAGTCCATACCCAATCAAGTAGCATGACATCATCATCATTTGCAAGACGAGCTAGATCAAAAGCCCTCTGTCCTGTTATTAGCTCTAGAAGCATTATTCCATACCCAAAAACATCAGTTTTCTCTGATGATTTTCCAGTAGAGAGATATTCCGGAGCAATGTGCCCAATTGTGCCTCTGACAGCAGTAGTGACATGCGTATCCTTGTAATCCATAAGTTTAGCCAACCCAAAATCTCCTACAACAGCCTCAAACTCTTCATCCAACAAAATATTTGCAGCTTTAACATCACGATGGATAATCTTTGGGTCACAATGATCATGCAAATAAGATAAGCCTCGAGCAGATCCCAGGGCAATTCGCTTTCTCGTCGGCCAATCAAGCGGTGGTACAGATGGGGGACGTTCTATAAATGAAAGAACAAAATTTACAAGTCAAGCATTGGATGAATCAGATTCTTTCAGTAAGATAACCTGCAAATAGCAAAAATTTAACTAACAGAGATTTTAACAATCTAAGCTCCAAAAATATATAAATGGTATTCCCCAACTCAACATATTTCAGCCAATGGGACAGCAAATAACAGTAACAGGAATGTGTGAGTAATGAGAAACGCCCATAAATGATAGTTTACTTACCTCGTAAACATGAAGCGACACTTCCATTTGCCATATAAGGATAAACAAGAAGACGTTCGGTAGGAGTCATGCAAAACCCACGCAACCTTAGTAGATTGCGATGAACAGCCATGCTGATCATCTCAACTTCTGTTTGGAATTGCAACTCCCCACCAGGTGTCCGCTCCTCTTTCAGTCGTTTTACAGCCACCAATGAGCCATCTGCAAGTCTTCCCTTGTACACCTTACCAAATCCTCCTCTTCCTAAAATATTTTTATTACTAAAACCATCTGTTGCCACTTGTAATTCTCGCAGAGAAAACCTTTTGAGCTGACCCAGGTGAACTTCAGGATCTTCCTCAGCTGCAAAGAAATGCGAACAACCAGTAATCACACCATTCAGATATGTTCAGTCTGAGAAGATTTCCAGTTAGCTTACTAACCAGGCACATCAAAGAAAAATTCTTGTGGTTTCCTGCGACGCCACCATGCAAAGGCAATGGCAGGGGCTGCAAACAGGAGAGCAGCACCAGCAGCAACTCCTCCAGCTATGGCTCCAGTAGCACTGTTCCCCCTAATCAAAAGAAAATAAACATATTAAATTAATAATAGAAAAAATTATAAGAATCCTGCAGATTCCTGTCTCTACATAGTGATTATACATGCAGAGCAGATTAAGTTACAATGACCCAGTTGAAGAAGCATTCCACAAAATCTCATATGAGCTTCAATTAACAGCAGTGCAACAGTGTACCAAATTCAAATGACAGCCCCAGCCATTTGCAATTCTCAAAACAGAACATCAAAGTAGCACATGGACCAAAGTAAATAATTTGATCTGCTCCAACATGACAGGCTTGCAACTGGTAATGCCAGATATAATAAGCTTTGAAGGTTGAGAATGAGCCAGTCCAAAGGAGTCAGCTTTCATCCTCCCCATTCAATGTATAGGATGACACAAAAATATACATTTTCAAAAGCACTAAAAAAAGGCAGAGTAACTATAGTTGGTTTCTGAATTTCTTGCATCTAAAGCCAAGCTGCAAGCAAGTTGCATGGTGCAATTATACAGCCAACAAATGAAAGACGGCATTTACTACTAAAGAAAGTTTAACGAGTTAAGCAGAACCTGGAGTTGATATTGGTGGTGGTGGGACAAATGGAGGAGGTGGAGAAAATGGAGGAGATCCAGGGCAAGGGCGGCCCGTAACTGGGCCACAGAGACCCACGTTGTTGGCAAAACTGTAAGATTCGAAAGTTCGCAATTAGCATTACACCTCAAGACATCAATGAGAAGAACGTGGATAAACTGTTAGCAAGAAACCTGATGGGTGTAAACAATGAAAAGGAACCATTATCTGGAACTGCTCCTGACAGATGGTTGTTTGATAGATCCCTGCTTGCCAAAAAGAAAAAAGAAAAATGAAAAAATCACTTCCCTATGTTTGTGCAATAGAGTTTTATGTAAAAATAATAATAAAAATAAAGAACTCAATACTCACAACACTTGCAGTGATGAGATATTAGTCAGTGACATAGGAATAGGACCTGTTAAGCTGTTGTTGTTCAGCCGGCTATCCTTACATGGCATTGGAAGAGCATTATATTCAAATTTAAATCCACGGACAGATACAGCAGTAATTTATTCAAAGCATGTGAAAAGGAAAAAGACAAGACATAATATGGTATAATACAGTCTTGTGTGAATGTTGACATGCAAGGGACACAGAGAATATTCCAGAGACTGTTTCAAGCAAGTCCACTCCTATAGGCTGGATGTGTATACACGCTTAATTTAAGCAGCTGGATGGTCCATTCCCGTTACTATTATCGAATAATAGTGGATCAACCATGCATTTTGAAAGTAAGACAGACATGCACTTGATGAAATTTCTCAACTTTCTATCTAAAGACACTTCAAGTTTTCATTAGCATCACAATCGAGGCTCCACTTTTTCTTACAGTACTTGATGCAATTTCTGAACTTTCTATCTAAAGACACTTCAAGTTTTCATTAGCATCGCAATCAAGGCTCCAATATTTCTTACAGTATTCTTGAAGATATCTTTTGCTTCCAATTTAAATTGATAAAAAGCACTTTACATGAACTTCTCTTTTATTAAGGATGTCAAGATAGATTTAGAAGCCTGATCCAAGCACTTCCTTACCTTAATCGAGGTGGATTTGGGGATCTTAAATGGGTACAAACTTATAAGTCGAGCCCAATAGAAGGGTCACACAAGCCAAATTTAAGATTATGCATAGCTCTTAGCATGTAATTCAGTTCTTAAATGTCCCTGTAACTATTTTAATCAAATTGCTACAGCTATTTAACATGAAGCACCAGGCTGGAAACAGAATCCCACATCAAAAAACCAATATTACTTCATGAACCATAAATTTTTTTAGGACGCAAGGTTCTGAAATGCAAGAAAATCTATTTTGCGTTCTAAATTTTGTGCCACCACAGTTGGTGGATGATGGGATTTTTCTCCCACCTCACCTTTCCATTCACATCCTTGGGCTTATTAACCTCAACAAACCAACACAAGCCAAAGCCAATCCTATCGTCAATTTATGAAACTGGGATTATATGCATATAATCATTTTAACATATCAAATCAACACATGTTAGCCCAATCTGACCTCATTAATGTGCAACATAACATTACAAGTACAGTAATATTATGCCTTTGCTACCAGAAACTCCTAAACTACTGCCAACACCCCTAAACTACTGCCAACACCAATGTGTTTGTCACTGATCACCAACACCAACTCCCTCTCCCATGTGTAAATTGAAAATTAAGACAAAAAAACAGAACAAAAAACCAAATATTCAAGAGAACTTAAAGTGAGACAAGGATAAGCATACACACAGGAAACGTAGTTTTGATAGCTTCCCAAAGTGTCTGGAATCGGACCAGTAAAACTATTCAAGTAGAGATCCAAGCTCACTAAGTTAGTCAGGTTCCCAAGGTCACTAGGAATTGGTCCGCTTATATTATTGCTGTAGAGTTCCCTGTAATAAACAGAATATATAGAACACTTGCATATCAGAAGTCTTCCCTATAGCATGCGTGTACAACATAGTGATTACAGATAGCTGTGCATGATAAAAACACATATGCTTAAGCTATTAAATATTTCTTCCCTATATCAATAGACTTCCTATATTTGTGCCTACAATCCCAGCAAGTTCAGCAAGCTAGTAGCAAGTGGCAAATCTATAAAGCTATAATAAGTTTAGCCCTTTAGTCTGAAATTTAATTCTGCCCTCCCCCCACCGCAAAAAAAATATTTAAATAATAAAACAAAATAAATACAAGAATTATGCTAATTGAATCCTGTCCCCTGCCAACATTTTTCCTTTTCTTTTTCTTTTTTTCTTTTTTTTTTTTTTTTGGGGGGGGGGGGGGGTTGCAACCTACTAGGTTGTTAGATAATACAATAAAAAACAAAGATAAATATGTAAAAATACTATCCTTAGTATCCAACCTATACTTAGTTCTTATTAAAAACAGGGGCCAATCAAAGGCAGTTATGGGATAACCAGTCTGTCCAACCTTCACAAGCTGGTCAACAGCCAAAAGAACTCCTCATTAGTGCAAATGGCACCTGCCTAAATATATCACAATCCAATAGCTTATGTAATATCTCTCCCCATAGAGCACATATGCTATTATGTTTATCATGAACATTAAAAGATGCTAATTAAAATTCAGCTGTTTCTTATTATTAGGAAATCATATCCTTATAATTTTACCAACTCATGCAATTACTGTTCTCTAGCTTTCTGCTACCCAAAACTAATTACCATGTTCATCAGCTACAAGATTACGAGCCACATGAGCCCAAAATATGGATAAACTCCATCTCCATCTTTACCTATAAAAATAGTTAAATATGAACAGCAACCAATTCCAAAGAGGGAGTAGGTGCAAGAGAGAAGATAAAAAGGTAGTCAATAGAAACTCTATACTGTGGGATAAGAGAATTCTTGATCAATAACATTAAACTTAAAAATTGATCAGTTGGTAGTGGTGGAGGACCATTAATTGTCAGTCAACAATTCTTACCAGAAAGAGAGAAACAATCCAAGAGCACAAAGTTGCAAACTTACAAGTACTGTAAATTCTTCAGCAAGCCAAGCTGTGAGACCAACTGACCAGACAAAGCAGCATTGCCAAGATCACTGTGAATAGACAGAAGGGAGATACCATTTACAGAAGCAATTGCAAAAATGAACCATAGCCTTTCTTTAGAAAGTTAAGCAGGTGCCAACTATTGTAGAATGCTTACACTCTTATAACACTATTATCATTATTGCACGTAACATGAAACCACGTGCACGGGTTGACTAGTGTAGGATCCCAGCTCTGTAGCACATTGTTTGGGTCCTCTAAATTGATCCTTAAATTATGCAAAGCATCACCTGTTACCCAATGCAAGTAAAGGCAATCAGATGGCACTTTTAAGAAAAAGTAATTCATCAGTAATCGCACGTCATGACAAGTATCGAAACTACACATAGAAAACAGAGCATTTCCTCCAATTTCCACTAAAATTTAAATTTTAATAAAGACAAGTTGGAATACAGTATAATTTTGGAAGCAGTTCAAAGTGTTTCCTTCGTGAGTCTGGCCAAGTTTCTTTCTGGACAATTTGAACAGGTAAAAGTACTAAATGTTCCAAAATTCTGGAGAAATTATCTTCTGGAGAGAAGTATAAATCCATCTAACTATCAATCGCTCAGTCACACATACACAGTTATACATGTTCAAGAATCTTTTTGCATTGAACAAAGATTACCATATGTGATCAGCGAATTTACCATCCACTCGTAGCTTAACAAAGCTAAAACAAGCTTAAGCAGAATATTACAGTCATTTCAACCAACAGAGATATGGGCTTTATATGACAAAGAATACCAAGGTGAAAATACCCATGGTGCAAATAAACAGTCAATATCAGCTTTTGTACGAGGAAATAAGAATAAAGAGAAAGAAGAAACAGCTGAAAATCGAATCTTTTATCGTCTACGCACCTTCCATATTTGCACAAATAAACCTCAGGGGATGGACCACCATAATCAACCAGAGCAAGCATGATCTTGCTACCACCACTCTGTCCATCACTGTCTTAAATACCTAAACATGCAAAACATACATATGCTTTTATATGTATCACCCCCACCCCCCTGTCGGTTATCTCAGATCCAAATACTCAACTCACAGAAACAGCATTACAGAACCCGCAGCTCCCACAAAACCCTAGCTCTCGATTGCCAAATCTCCACCATTTTTGCCACAGAAACAGTCGCAAAAACCAGAATCAGAAGCCGATCTCATCGCAGAGCATAGGCAGCGATGAAGACGAGAAATAAGGAAAGGATTTCTGCAATCTTTGCAACGCAAACTAGCTCCTCGCACGCCAGTCCCCTTTTCGTTCACACTTTTACCTCTCTGCAAGGAACCTTTTCACCGCTGTTCCCCTTTTTCTCTCTCCAGAAGCCTCTCTCTCTCTCTCTCTCTCTCTCTCTCTCAGTTCTGGCCAGTGTGCAGTGCGTAATTTATGCGCTTGTGTGTGTTATTATCTAATCCTCTTTGGGTGCGTGCAGAAGTGCCCGAACGGTGGGGTGGCTGCCCCTGCTGCCCAAACTCTGTCCAAACGGCTTCGGGTTTCGTAATTATAGGCCCCGTTTGGCATGGCACAAATACAAATCTTTCAGGTCAGCTTTTTTTTTTTTTGCTTTTTTTATTACCATAAATAAAAGCTTTTCTTATAAATCAACAAAAATTTTAAATTAAAAACCTTCCGCGTCATGAAAAAGGTTTGTATCAGTTCAGGAATATTAAGAAACAAAGCCTTAAAAAGTGAAAAGCTGATTAACTTTCTTAATTTTAATATCAATTTAAAATTGACTTCTTATACCCAAAATTTATTGAAAATAAATTATACCCATTAAAATACAAATAAACATAGTACTTGCCTACGAAATATTTTTACAAATTATTATTCTAAACTTTTCAAAATTTATTTATAATCCGTAGAAAATAAAATCTATAAGCTGAAGACAAAGGAAATCTTATCATAAAATTTATTTTAATGTGTGAAGCGTAAGAAAGCCGAACCTTTTTAAGACGGATTATAAAAAGAATTAATTACCTTCTGATCTTATGATTAATAATTTTTCATTTCAAAAGCTAATTAATTATAGTAGAAGTCCACGGTATACTATAAAATAATCTATGAAAACAATAAGAAATTGATGAAAAACAAACAGAGCATAACCAAAGCAGATATAATAGTTACAACTTCCATGGACGGAGATGTAGCAACCACGGAAAGTGACAGAACTGTTTTGAGGAGGACACGTGGAGGCCCACAAAGGCGGGCCCAGCACTAGACGATATTCCGTTTTTGAGGAATTACGGAACGGACCGGTCCATTCGAATGCGCACGGGAAGGGTTCCGGTCAACTTAATAATTCAGAATAATTATTAAAAATTAAAGCGAGGGAAAAAGAAGACCACTTTGAGATTTGGGAGGTTTGTCCACTTGCGTTTGTTTTATTTCCCCTTTGCTCCTTGTCGTTTTAAATATTTTTGAGTTTGATGGCTTGACTTTTTATTTTCTAATAAAAGTCCGTAACCGGGGACCAAATCCACATCACTTCCTTTCGGTTTCATTTCATTCAATTCTGTTTGTTCAGGTCTTTTTGTTTTTCCCTTTAATTCTTTCCTTTTTCCAGCAGGTTTGGACCGGGGACCATCGGCCGGGATCAGGACCCATTTTGGGAAATTCTTTTGGGCCGGAATGGGCCCAGATAGGTGGCATTGGGCCAAAGTGGAACTCTGGGCCTCGTTTTGGGCCCCCGTTTGTCCCGACCCAAATTGAGAAACTGCACTTGTTCGCTCTACAATGTTAGAGGTTTGACACATTTACATGATCCTTTTTGGTGATGATACATATCTTTCTTTCCATTCTAAGAGTGTAAAAGTGGAAATTTTGTTTTGAATTCAATTAACATCCAAACAAATTGAAAATATAACATATATATTTATGTAAACTAATTAAAAGTATTTTCAAATCAGATAAAAATTTGAATTGAAAACATACAAGTTATTTATACGTTTCATATTACGTTATTAGATATATATGATATTTTATCTCATATTAATTTTTAAAAATAATATGATATAATATATAAAAAATTACAAATTACTGTAAAAAAATTTGAATTTAAATATTTTGAATTAATAATTCAAACTCAACAATTAATTAAAATTAATATTTTTTAGATCATTACAGTATATAAAACTATTTAGTAGAAAAAAGGCACAAATATATCCATGCAATATTAATAAATATATATAAAAATAACATTTCTCTTATCCACTTTCTTGTATATTAATATTAGGAAATGCCCATGTGGTATGAAGTTAAGTTGGGTTTAGTATCCTGTCCTGTCCTTTTAATATTTTCTTCTCCCGGTGTGATTGGATAGGTTGATCTATCGGCGGCCCTCTTTCCTTTCCTCGTGGGACGTGGGTCTTGGGGCCTTGTTAAGGGCATTGATTTTTACTTTTCAACAAATAAATAAATAAATGGATAAGAAAGAAATTTAAAAAAATATATTGTAACAGGCTTACAAATAATATCATGTACATGGCCAATTAAGAGCTGAAGTATAGGCCTATCAATATAAGGCGAATTCAAGTTAGATTAGAGTAGATTCGAATCCGAATTTGACTATCATATATTATATCCAAATTCGATTCAAAATCATATAAAATATATGTTTAGTACCATCACATCCGAATACAGATAAAATCCAATATCTGACACAACTGAATCCAAATTGTTATATTGTCATATATTTATTATTTTGCATTTTAAAAAAAATTTAAAACTAAAATAAGAAATTCTCCCAAAGATAAACTAACAAGTAATTTGAAAGTTTAGAAATATAATATAATTATATTTGATTCATTATAATATTGTATTTGAGATTAGTTTACTGATAATATATAACAATTACGTTTAATTTATTGATATAGATATTTTTTATTTTTATTTTTATAAAAAATAAAAATATTTTTTTTAATTTTAATTTTAATAAAAATAATTTTTTAACCAAAATATAATAAATTAAATTTATATTGTAATGTATATATATATAATTGTAATATATATAATATTATATCATATTATATGTCATATATATTGTTTATATATAATATACATAAAACTATATATACACGTACACAATATAAAATGTTGTTTATAGATAATATATATATACATGTGCGTGTGTATATATATATATTTGCATTCAAATTTTTAATAAATCAAATTAGATAAAATTTATATTTACTTTATTTATTTTAAATTATAAATTTTTTATAATTAAATTATATCTATCAAATTTTTTATTAATTAAAAATTATAAATAATTAAAATAAATTTGAATCAAATTCAAATTACAACACCTGTGCGAGTAAAAAATGATTTTGAATACATAGGCCGGGCTCATGTACTTGAGAGAGTTTGGGCCCACATTATCGCTGTTAGTGCCACAAAGTTTTCCAAGAAAAAGGGGACAGTTTTTCCCTTCCCTCGGCCCCCAACCTTTGCCCCACAGTCCCGGAAAACACAAAAAAAGTAAATAAGTGATACTAAACAAATCGCACTTTACTAACTCTACTGCATGAGATTAATATAAACCCTATAACCAATTTAAAAATCAACATTTTTTTTTTCATGAACAGCATTATTCCTCTATTGTTTTAATATTTTGTCAATTTATAAGGGGGTCCAATGCAATGGTTTGGACTTTAAGGGGTTAAAACAATAGTTAGGTCTAACATGGAAATTTGTCTAGGGATTATTCAGCTTCGATTAAGTATTTATGATTATTGCAAGATTAGAACAGTTGGGATTCTAATGTTACTTAGAGACAGGTGTGGTACTTAAAAACTCCTTAAAAGTTAAGATTTCTATTTAGTTTATTTTCATGGAGCCTTGTCAACAAATACTTTCCATGCTCATTATGGTCTGGAGGTGTTTGCTACGTCTCCTTGGTGTTTGGCTCACGTGGACAGTATCATGCATTGTCTTTGGAACTGCGAATGTTTCCAAAAATAAATTAGCTTAGAATTGATTTGTCTTTGTCTCCTTACTTTTTTTTTAATGACACGGTAAAAAATTAGTGACTAATATGTTTAATAATAATAAAGATAATTTTCTTTTCTTGGCCTTCTGTGGTAGACCTAGTGCTGGAAGAATAATATGATGTTTGAAGAGGATAAGTGGAATATTTAAAAGGTTCTAAGAAGAATAGAGATTTTAAAAAGAAAGTATATTCAGTTTCCTTATTGCTATACTTCTGTGGACATTATTTATCTAGCAGTTTATTTGAATAAACCTCTCCACAGATATGTTAAGGTGAACGTGGATGATAGATGTTAAGACAATTCTCTTATAGCTAGGATTAAGAGAACAATCTGCTCCTCTCTTGGAAATTGATGTCTCAATTTGTTGGTTGTATAGGTAACATTGATATATTATTTACTAGAGTTATATATTTATTGGTTGCATTTGTCCCCATCCTAACTGAGAAAAGTGCACTTGTTTGTTTTGTACTGGTTAGATGTTTAACATGCTGCCATGATCCTTTTTGTTCATGATATGTCTCCTTAATTTAACAGCTATCTTACGATTTGACATTTGGAGAGTATTTACTTTGGGCGAGCTTCTTCTTTTTCTTCTTCATTTTTTTTTTGGTTTTAGGTTTTAGTCCCTTTGGTAACAAAAAATAAAGTTAAAAAAATGATAGAATCATTGAGCTGTAACCATAGTTCAATTGTTGAAGGTGTTAAAACAATATATAGTCAAATGGGAGATATCTTCATTTCTTGTCCTCCATTTATATTTCTATTTTGAATTGTTATTTATTTTGTATTTTTATTCAGTAAACAAGTAAATTAGTATAACTCTCGTTCGAAATTTGTTTGGTTTGAATTCATTTAACACCCGAACAAATTATAAAAATTATATATATATATATATATAAATACATATATATAATATATATATACAAGTAGAATAATTTAATACCACTAAATTAAAAGCAATTTCAAATGAGATTAAAAACTCAAGTGAAACATACAAGATATTTTGTCTACACGCTCATGTTATAATTTTAGATGTATAAACTACTTTAGTAAAAATAATACATTAATATGTCCATGCAACATTAAAAATTGTATAGGAAAGTAACTTATTTCTCCTATCCAC